CGCCCTGAAGAGAGAAAGCTTGTTAAAAAAAAAAAAAAAAAAGAGGGAAAACCGAAGTTTCATGTCTGGTGAAGTGGGAGAAAAAACGAGGCCACTTTGTGACCAACTCTGAAAGATTACACCTATTCCTGGACTTTCTGCGGTTCATCCTTTAGCCTACGGACCAGCGGGGGCGGTTGGCGTGGGTTTTCATAGCGAGCTCTCTCTGGCTGGGCCCCTGCAATCCCCGCTCCTGGCCTGGGTGGGTGGGAAGGGAGGTTGTGAATACTCCAGCTGCTGGGGGGGGGTCTCGACAGCTGGCGATTTTTGAAGTGCACCCACCGGAGGGCTTTGAGACTGGGTAAAGCTAAATGTTTCCGAGTTTAGCTGTCAGTTCTGGGCAATGAACTGTCTTGGTTCTGGGACAACTTGGTGCAATGTGTTGAATAAATTAAGGGTGGCTCATTTTCTCTTTGTTCCTGTGGGTTACTATTACACGCTGTGTGGCTTGTTTGTTTCAAGTTTAATTTTCCCCATCTCAAAATGGAAAGACTTAATGCGACTTCAAATCTGTAATTCACCAACATGCTTTATTATTAACAACCTCATTAGTATGCTGGTATTTATATATGCGTATTTATCAACAAAGACTTATCTGCATTTAAAGTCCCAAGACCTGGAATGCTGGCTGAAGTAGCCTATGTTTCTGAAAGGAAATAAAATATTCTTGAGTGAGAGCTCTAAGTAATAACTTTTTTGTATTTTATCTCTTCACTTAAGAACTAATGTACTCATACTTTGACAGGTATTTTAACACAGACACACACACAAGAGCCACACTTGAATTTGTTCTATCATCATTTTATTTTGAAGGCACGGCATATGCTACATAGTAAGTGTTCTATGGTTTATTCCCTCAGCAGTATCCTTGTTAATCTTTTCATTCATGAAGAGTTTAGAAGCTCCCCCCCCCTAGTTTTTATAACCAGTATCTATCATTTGAGGATCTTAGGTTTGCTAAGAATGTTGACATTAGAATCAAAAGTAGTGCCTACGCTTGGAAAGCAGTGTGGTGCCTTTCTAGTGATTTGTCAGATATCGTATGAAAGCAGATTAAAAATTTCCCCTTTCATCTGAGTATGAGTTATTTAAACAAGGCCCAGCTCCAGGGCTCACTGCTAAGATACTGCACTGCAGGCTGGGACCGCATGAGAGGCCCAGTTTGATTTCCACGGTTGCCTGTACACCCGCAATCCCAGAGATCTCTGAGGCTCAGGTCTCAAAAGAGCAAGACCCTTTTTAAAAAACAACACAAATCAAACAAAACCAGCCTATCCACTCTGTCTGGAAGGGCTCTGCTCTCCTGGTGGGCTGGAAATTCCGTCTTCCCTAGTATCAGTATTAGCCTGAAGGAAGACAGATCCCAGTGTCTGCAGTGACTTGTCTGTCACTTTGAACAAGCTGATTATGAAGACATTGAAACCAGCCTGATCTTTTTCAAAGGGATGGAAGACATGATAGGTACAATGTAGTTTGAAAAATACAGTATGCTACATAAATATAAGCCTTCATGCAAAAGTGAATGCCAAGTGACACAACTGGTTGAGAACTGGACTAAAGTCGAGCACCTGCATGCATATTTCCCACTGCAGAACAGTCAAGTTTCCTGAGGCTCATCCTGTGCCTTAAGAACCTTGTTGGGGGACCAGCAGATGGCCTAATGGTTACATCGCTGGACTCCCAGGTAGTTGATCATGGTTAAAGTCCCAGATTCGACAACTTAAACTCACGCTAGGTGTGTGTGCATGCCTGCCCAAGATCCCAAGAGGAGAATGGAGGAAGAATGGAGGAGAAGGAATTGTGACATGGCCATCCCCCCTGGAGGGAGGCGGTGATTCTCGCTTCCTGTCTCTCGGTCTTTCTCTCTTTCTGGTGAGCACACGTGCCCTATAGCAAAAAATAAATAAAAATTAAAAAAGAATCTTGTTGGCTATTTGAAAGGGTCCTCCGTCAGCTGGGAGTATAGGGTGAGACTGCTTAGTTCTTAGTGCTAAGCAAAGGCTTTCTTTGCCCTTTTGTTTAACCCTAATGCTACATTCATGAGAGTGGGTATTGTTATAGTTCTACAGGAGTAGAAACTGAGGCTCAGAGATGCCGAGTGACTTGTTTAAGGTCAAAGAAGTGCCAAGTCCTAAAATTAGGATTAGAAACCAAACTAGATCTGGATTTGCTCCACACCTTTCCATACCCTATTAGCTTTAACTCAGTGGTTTTAAACCTTTTTGTGTGTGTTTAATAATCTGATGAAAGTTGTAGGTTCTCCCAAGGAAGAAAATGGCCATATTCACATATGCATCAAATTTGCATGTGATTTCAGAGTCCATTGGCCCTCTGCAGTCCTTCCCCGGGCTCTCAGGTCTCTAATCCATGCCCTGACTGTGTCTGTTACTGACTGAGAAAGAATTAATATATGCATACTATATATGTGTACATATAATCTTTTAAAGATGATTACTTATTTGATTTTATTGATGATGATTGTTATTTAGTTTGCTATAGGACACATGTGATCTTCAGAGGGCGTCAGAGAGAGAGAGAGAGAGAGAGAGAGAGAGGAGGAGGAAAGTGAGAAAGCAAGCCAGTAAGTCCGGGACATAAACCATGGTTGGCCGTGTGGAGGTCCAGTGCCTTAACCACCACACTGCCTGCTGGTCCCTTCATATAATTCATTACTATTAAGAGCAGCTCTTGAATTTGCTAACTTTCAGCTAGGTGAAAAATTCACTTAGTAAAGGAAACAAATAGGAAAATGCTGCTTACATTCTAACTGATTTCTAGAAACACCTAAAGTGCAGTTTGGCACAATCATGCTTATTTGAAACCAAATTTTTAATTTGCATTTTTTCCCACAATATCCTGCAACAGCAAAGAATATTGACTGTTCCTTTGTTCGCTGAATGAAAATGTTGATATTGTTTTTCTTTTTTCTCCCCAGAGATGTCAAATCCTGAGGTAGTTATAAGTAGCTGCAACTCTCACGAAGAGGAAAATCGCTATACTTTTGACCAGCATACGCCTCCATCTCAGGAGCTTTTATTAGAAGATCAGATGAGGAGAAAACTCAAATTCTTTTTCATGAATCCTTGTGAGAAATTCTGGGCTCGAGGTAGAAAACCATGGAAACTTGCTATACAAATTCTAAAAATTGCAATGGTGACTATCCAGGTAGGTAACTTTGGTGAGAGCCTCTTTTTTTTCTTTTAATTTTATTGTTTTAGTTTTGCTCTAGAGTGTGAGCACTTGCTAGAGAGAGAGAGAGAGAGAGAAAGACAGAGAGAGATAAAGAGAGAGAGAAAGTGAGAGATCATGCCTCTGGGGAATAGCTGTGTTGCAATCCCTTTTCCTCCACTCTCCTCTTGGCATTTTGGGCACACATGCATATGCGCCCAGTGTGATTTTCACGCTGCTGAGTCCAGGATTCAGCTGTACAGTTGGCCATGGAGGATCCAGCCACCTTAACCTCCATGCCACTTGCTGGTGAAAGCCTCTTTTAATAACAAACAAAACTATGGACTGGTTTTTATAATTTGTAACTATGCATATTGGAGAACAATAAGAAAACATACAATTTTAAATTCTTCTCACTTTAACATTTGTGAAAGACTTTGGCTTTGTCCTCTTTTTTCCTTCTCATCTTTCATTAAGTTACAATTTTAGTCTAATTAGTTTTCAGGGAAAGAAAATTTTAGTATTTGGCTTCCAGTCTAAAGGTTCAGCTGAAGGTTTCTGAATCACCATGGAGACCAGCCTTTGCCAAGGATGAGGACTTTCTTCTCCTTCCTAGTTAGCTGTATTTTTGAAAACGTTGTCTAACTCAAATACAACTATTAGCCTGACATTCTCTGGTGATACAAAACACCTGTGTTAGTATCTCTTTAAAACAAAGTTTTTCCCCAGTATTCTTTCCTCCCTATCTTCTTAAACAAAAATAGTTTCACATAGGTTTTTTTCTTTGTCAAGGCCCACTACTCCTACCCCTAGGGGTAACTCATTTGGCCCCTCCTTCCACTAGCTAGAAGTTTTAGCTCTTTTCTAATAAACTTTGCTTACTATCCTCTCTATTTGTCAGCATTTTTAATTCTTCATAAGCATCAGACAGAACCCTGCACAAGTGTTGGGTCTGATTACCCAACACCATTGCGTCATCTTTGGCGTGTTGGCTGGGAAACCACATCAACGGAGAAATAATAACAGTGGACTCTATCCCTTTTTTCCGGGACTCATCCCTAGCAACTGACTCTATCAGATGAAATCACCAGGACATTGTATAGCCAAGTAAACACCATAAGGGTGACTTCCGGTCTACAGATTTCAATGACAGACTTGCTGGGAAACAGCAAATTTTGAAAATGTTGTCTAACAACAACCTCCCCCCCAAGCACTTTTGAAAGTGTTGGAAATATGGGGCTGGCAGATGGCATGGTGGTTATTGATGCTGGACTCCCACATGGCCTACCGCGGTTCGAGTCCTGGACCTGGCACCTTGCTTTCTCACTTTCCCTCTCGCTGTCTCTCTCTTGCTCTGTCCCTCTCTGGTCAAATTAAAAATAAATAAAGTTAAATAAAATAATTATTTTTTAAACATTCATATTCTTTTTTTCCTTATTTATTTATTAATTACATTTTCCCAGATTTATTTTATATATCAAAATATTTTTGCTCATACTTTATAGTTCTTGACAGTTAATAAACAACTTTCTTTTTTTTAAGAGACATTTTGCTATAAGGCACGTGCTCTCGCTGGACAGAGAGAGACAGAAAGTGAGAAATCACCACTTGGGGGATGACCATGCCACAATCCCTTCTCTGCCATTTATCCTCAGGATCTTGGGCATGCACACACATGTGCCTGGTGTGAGTTTTAAGTAACCAGGTCCAGGACTCAGACTGTAGTTGCCTATTTGGGCGTCCACAAACAAAATCATTATGTCATCTGCTGGTCCCAATGAACAACTTTACAAATTTTTAAAAAACTAAGTTTTAAAGATAACTTTAAAAATATCTGTTGGGAACCAGCAGTTATCGTAATGGCTATGTCGCTGGACTCCCACGTAGTTGACCGCAGTTCGTGTCCCGGACCCGGTGGCTTAAAATTCATGCCGGGCGCGTGTGCGTGCGTGCCCAAGATCCCGAGAGGAGAATGGAGGAGAAGGGACTGCGGTGTGACCATCCCCCCTGGGGGGTGATTTCTCGCTTTCTGTCTCTATGTCTCTCTCTGTCTATCTGGCGAGCGCACGCACCCTACAGTGAAAATCTCTCCAAAAAAAAAAAAACTGTTATAATTTTGATGGTGACTCTATAATCACAGAGACAGTATGGTTTCAAATATTTTTGAGAAAATATTTATATATCAACTATTCAAACTATTGAGAAGCAGACACCCTGCACACAATTCATACATGAACCTTCCCAACTCAGTTCTGCTACCAGGTATTCTGTGGTTTACCATCTGCCATCAGTCTCTTTTTCTTCCTTCAAAGTCTTTTTTAAGGTAATCCTCTGGTTGTGGCTGGGCTCTTTTCAACTATAATGTATTATTTTGCAATCTCTACTGATTGCAGTGCTGAGCTGGAAAAGTCCAGGTTATTTTATGGTACAGATTCATTCATATGGTTTCTCTAATCCTCTCTGCCAGGCAGAACTGTTTATGGTGCCAGGCAATCTTTCCTAGAGCTTCTGTTGTCTTTCTTGAGATCTAGCTTAGTTCCATAGTTTTCTGGTCATATCTTCAGGTATGACATTCCAGTCAAAGCCCTGTCCAATAATGATTATTTCCAATTTCTGATGCAAGGTAACCGGTATTATTGAATTTATGCAAATAACCCTTCTGCCCCAAAATAAGAATACTTACAAATATTTTCCAATTTCAGAAGGGTCAGGATGGGAGAAAAGTTTGTTTCAATTTAAGAAAAACAATCAAGCAAAAAAAAAAAAAAAGAAAAAGAAAAGAAAAAGAAAACATTTTAACCTATCAATAGCTCAAAAGAAAGCAAAATCTTTAAATCTGGAAAACAAAACATAGTAAGAAAATCAGTAATATTTTAGTCAAAAGTCATAAAATTCTGTTTCACCAGTTCGGTCTCATGAAATTAAACTCTCTTCTGCTGAATTTGTAGTGTTACTGTGGTCCAATCTTTCCGTTTAAATTCTGGAAGTTAGCATTCAACATCATTAATGATATTTCTGGACTTGTTCTTAGCATTTTCTTTATTACTTTTTGTTCTCTTATTTCTGTCTGCGTGACTTTAGTTTTCCTGGTAAAGCACTCCCTTCAGAACTTCTTGAAGAGCTGGTCTGGTGTCGGTAAATTCTTTCAGGTTTTGTTTATCAGAGACTGTTTTGGGCTTTTCTCCATATGAAGGATAATCTTGCCAGATATAGTATTTTTGGTTGAAATTGTTTTACATTTAACACTTTGAATATATTTTCCCATTCTTGCTCACATCGTTTCTGATGAGAACTCTGATGTTAGCCTGATGGGATAACCTTTGTAAGTAGCCTGACATTTCTTTCTTGCCAATTTTCGTATCTTGTCTTTGCTATGGATTTGGCCAATCTGGCTATCATGTGCCTTGGAGAAGATCTTCTTCTCGGGTTGATTCTATTTGGAGTCCTTTGTATTTCTTGGGTCTGGATATTTGAATGCCTCTTTAGATTTGGAAAGTTTTCTTCCAGATTTCATGGAATCGATTATCAATGCCCTTATTAGTTTCTTCACCTTCTGGGATACCAATTATCTGGATGTTTTGTTGCTTAATTGTATCTAGTATGGTTTGTATATTATTCACATTTTTTTGAATTATTTTCTCAGTCTTTTTGGTGATTTTTTTCTAGGTCGGAGGGGTTTTTTTTTGGGAGAGGTTTTTCGCTATAGGGCGCGTGCGCTCTCCAGACAGACAGATAGAGACAGAAAGCGAGAAGTCACCCCCCAGGGGGGATGGTCATGCCGCAATCCCTTCTCCTCCATTCTCCTCTCAGGATCTTGGGCACGCACGCACACGTACCCAGTGTGAGTTTTAAGCCACTGGGTCCGGGACGCGAACCGCGGTAGACTACATGGGAGTCCAGCGACATAGCCATTACACTAACTGCTGGTTCCCTAGGTTGGAGGTTTTGACTTCAACATTTGAGATTCGATCTTCTGCGTGGTCTAATATACTTTTAACACTTAGAAGGGAGGTTTTGACTTCCTATATTAGAGCCTTCATCTCTAACAGCTCCATTTGATTCTTTTTTGTGGCATATTTTTCTTATTTCAAATCGTGAAAGTACTTCCTCGCTTCCTGGAACTCGTTGTCTTTTTTCTCTTGCACTTTCTCGAGTTCATTGACTCTCATCTCTTGCATCTCATCTCATTTAGTTTTGTCATTATGAATATTCCAAATTCTTTATTGGACATTTCCACAAGTTCCTTCATACTGTCCGTAGATGAGGGAGAGTTGTTCTTTTCCCTTGGGGGAGCGATATTTTCTTCGTTTCTCATATTTCTTGTGCCTCTGTGGTGGTTTCTGGTCATCTGATGGATTATACGTTTATTCCTAATTTCTTGCAGTTAATTCTAAGTGTTCAGAGGTGTGTGGGAGGAGGTGATCCATAATTTCTTTGCAGTTTCATTTTTCTTTTTTTTTTTAAGCAAAATTGTAGAAACAACTTTATAAATAGATTCTTACATGAGAATCTAAACACAGTCAAGAAAAACATATTCAGAGCATCCCAGCCCTTCTTTTTTGCTCTGGGAAAAAAGAACAGAAGAGAGGAAAAACGATTCCTTCTTGTTCTTTTTGTTAGGTTTTTGCCATGGAGCCTGTGCACTCACAGGAAAGAGACAGAAAGAGAGAGGCAAAGTGAGAAATCACTCCCCACAGGGGAGTGACCACATCACAGTCCCTTCTCCTCCCCTGCCCTCTCAGGATTTTGGGTATACATGCATGCATGCACACATGCACACGTGCCTAGCATGATTTTCAACCCACTGGGTCTGGGACTCAAACCACGGTCAGTCACACGGAAGGCCACCATCTTAACCACCACACCAACTGCTGGCCCCTCCTTATTGTTTTTAATTGTGTCCACCTATGCAGTCAGTTTTTTCAAGCAAAATTTCTATTCCTTTGCTAGGATTTTTGTTTCTTTCCAATGTGGGAATCAGGCTTTTCAGTCCAGCT